AAAACATCGTTTTCATGATGGTCAAAGATTGGTGGCTGATCAAAAGCTGTCATGCAACTTGTAACAGTGAAGACGTTTCATCGACTTCACCAAAATAAGTTTAAAGGGCAATTCTACTTTCTAATGTAACTGAATGTCAAACTGTTCTTGTAATTTATGATGCAAACATCAAAAAGAATAACGAAAGATTCGAGCTTTTCTTCAAAACGTACATTTTAAGGCCAACAGTGAAATATCTGTGCTGATCTAAAGGTTGTAGCATTTAGATGTAGTATATTAGGCCAGGGGTTTCCAAACTGCGGCCCGCGAACACTACCAATCCGTCTCGAAAAGGGTTTTTAAATATTTTTTAAATTTAAAATAAGCAAGGTAACATACACATTAACTATTTTATACAACAACCAATCTAAAAACACATTGCATGTCATGCATGTTTTTCTTATTATAAACATTATACAACGTTGCTAAATTTACAATGAGTGAAATACCGTAGAACCCTATTAAAAAATTTGTCATTGTACTTTTACGAGAATAAGGTTTCATATACTATCTTTATCTGCTTTCAGTGTAGTACACTAGGTTTTTTTCATAGAAATTTTCAGCAATGATTTTGTTTAAATGTTAATTTTTGTTCAATATATGTTGTAATTTATTTTAATTTTGAAGATTATTTTTCAACCAAAGCTTGCCCAAAATATGAAATGCCTCTGAGTGAAAGTTTGCACCTGACCAAAATGTTAACAAATTGCACTAATTGTTATAACGGGAAGTTAAACCTATTTAAAGTTACATTGCAAACTTAAGAAATCTCCGATATTCTGGGACACGAATAATTTTGCAATTGTTTAAACAGTTTTAAGAAATTTATATAAGGTGAAATTGAAAATCTAAAAAAATACATTTCTTCATGTTAAAATAGCGGTATACACCCAATCGAAAAAATCTCGCTGCCTTGTTTATAAACATGTTTATGCTATTCATCATGATTATGTCACCATAATAACATTAACTACCTATAACTTGGCCCTAAGCTTCTTGAAAGAGCCAACACAGCCGGTGGACAAAAATGATTGGAGACCCCTGTATTAGACTGTACTATACTTGATGCAAGTAAATTTTTCATATATTTTTTGTCTTGCAAATGGAATAGCTGAGCAAAGAGCAATCGCTACATGATGAAAAACACGCTGTGCTTGAAACTACTGAACTTGGTTAAGAAAAATAGTATGTGAAGCCTTAGTGGATAAAGGAAAGTTTTGTTTTCGTTAAGCTTAGTCTAACACTGCTGTTTAATAAACGTTTTGATAAGTTACCTATAAAAAGGGATGGACTAAAAACAGTTTCTTAGGGCAACTGAGTTTACATATTTAATTCGATTAAAACTCGTGGTAAAGGGGAAGACTGGATGCCATACTTGGATTCAATAATGTGAATTCTACACAAAAATCCCCCAAATAAATTACTGGGAGGAAGAAAACGTTTTTACAATTCAGAGCAGAATAATCGGGTAGATAAAATACAGGTGTTTTTATATCAAGTTATTCTCTTTTAGTCAGGGTCGGCGACGCAGCCGGTCTGGTCGCACCAAGCGGTAGAATTTAGGACCAGCAAACGTTTTAGACTTCAGAGAAACGAGCAGCAAAATTTAGGGATGGCAAAAATTTTAGAACTTGAAACTAGCAAAGATGACACCAGGAAGCAAACTGTCTAGAGCCGATCTTGCCTTTAATATCAACAATGACCGCTTTGAATGTGCTCAGATTTGTTTGTATAAATAATAATTTATTATAAATACTTGAATCTGAACAAAGAGTTATGTGTCTTATGTAAAGCTCTTAAACGTATGAGTTAATCAGATATTCCAAAGCTTTTATGCTCGAGTAAGTCACGTAATTTCTTACTTGCTTTAATCGAAATAGTTAAGTTATCTGATGAATTTCAAAAATTAAAGCTAGCAAAGCTTAAGTACCTTACAAAAGACAAATAACGAGTTTTAACTGATAAAAGCGATACGCTTTAAAAAATTAAAATTCTAATATCTTAACTGCGTATTAGATTTAATTCTGTTTTTCTGACATATAGCATAAGGTCATGCATATTAGAGACATACTTCGATGTAATTCTTTCTAGCTTGTTCTTAATTTGAGAAAACTGTCATCAGAAATCGTGTCCAGAATTCAATTTTAAGGTAGGATCTGTTCACTTTCTTTTTGTTCAGTGAAGCTTATCAACCCAGTTATTTACATTCTCCAACATGCCTTTGTGTATTTTTTCACTTAATTTTGTATTAATATGACAGTAAAATTGGAAACTGTTACAAATATAATAAAGCTACGTGAAAGGTTATTTTAGCTGACGCAATACCCTGCAATTTTATTCCTTGCAATAACCTTCTTATACAAAGACATGTGGTAAACTTAGTTGAATTCAATCATGAATTTTCATTCTTTCGCATTAAAAAAACTATAAGTCAAGTTTTAAAAATTTCATTGCGAATTTAAAATAAATCTGATACTATTTTGTGGCATACAACACTTATCTTGTTTTATGCGAAACACTTTCTTTTGTAAATTCTACGTAATTTTTCATAGCTTGTTAATGAATGCCGAACGATTCTTAAATATTTTGAAAATTTTTATTTTTCTGTTGTGAAACTCTCTATCAATTTAAGAAAAAAATAGAAATCCAAATAAAGCAATAAAAGATTATTCTCTGGAATTATTAAAATTACCACTACTCGATCTACATTTGTTTCAGAAATGCAACAGTTGATTTCGGAAAGGAACTTACGTCAAAAGCAATGAAACAGTGGCTATTTTGAACTACTGACCACAGCTTGACTACCTGAGTCCGAGAATTAGTGGCTAATCAAGTAGGTTCGCTTTAAATAGGCATACTATTTAAAACCTAGCTCTTTCTCACCTGATTTCGACCGAAATTGCAAATTGAAATAATATCTAGTTAAGTCTATGTTTAAGGCAAATAATTTAGTTGTATTATAGTTTTGCCCCAAATGAAAATCACGAGTCTACGTTCCGTTAAACCTTAAGTATTAATATAACGTTAACTGTAATTTAAACAAGTAGATGCGAGGTTTCATATCCGACATTTTGTAAATTTATAAAAATAAATGTTAATCATGACTGTCCTTGGGATCGTGATCGCAAAAGAGAAAGAAAAAGCTTAATTTTTTTATAGTAAAAGAAATCTATAAAATGCGTTTCTTTGCTTTGTAGTTTCATAATTTTTTCATGCATTGCTTTTTTCCTTACGTCTTCTGCTTGGGCCCAAAATGCAATGCTGAAATGGAAATGAAAAACTGGTTCTAACGTACAAAGCAGAATTATATTGTAACACTTTGATTATTATTATAAAAGTGATTGAATTGAATTATTGCTGTCTGGGAGTGTATGGTATTTCGTCTCCGCCTCTGTATGCAGATGAAAACATCAGAGACTGACAAAACGTGAATTAAAACTTGTGCAAGAAAGCATACGAAATAAAATTAAGATTAACAAAACATTTTCTTACCAGTTAACATTTTCATAGAAAATGAGCACAAAAAAAAAAAAAAAAAAAAAAAAAAAAAAAAAAAAATAATAATCCAAACAACGTTATATTAGAAGTATTTTTAATAAACTAGGCAAAGGTAAATTCCCATGCAATATATATTAATTTTTCAGTTCGTGTTCAATTCAAAACATGATATATATGTTTTAGATTTCTGTATGTTCGAATAAAAAATTTCTAGTTCTTATTTAAAAATTAATTCCTACATCATATATCTTCATTTTAAACCTGTCTTTTAGTTCTCTCATTAAACATGTCTTTTATTTATTTTAAAATAGTATTAAATGTTAAAAGAAACTTTTCATAAGGACTGTAGAAGTAATCATGACGAAAATATTGGTGCATTTTGAACTTTAAAACTGTAATTTAGTTTCTGAGAAGATTTCTGAATTTATTGAAGAAAAATTGTGTTTTTAGAATTTTTTAACTCAAATTCCAGTTTAATGATTTTTCTCATTCTTATGTCAGAATAAATGTTTAAACCTGCTGCATTATTTCTCATTCTTATGTCAGAATAAATTTTTAAACCTGCTGCATTATTTCTTTTTGTTTTGTATCGTTTTTTATTTAAACAACACAAGCTATTTTAAATGCAATCTTTTCTATGGAAATTTCCAAATAGTAATAAAATATTCTGAGTACTCTATATTAGTAAAATGAATTTCTAAAAGTGAAATATTCTTTTACAAGCATTTTTTGAGCATGCAGTATTATTTTAAAATAAAAACATGCGTATTGGATTTTAAGATGAAAGAAGGAATAAATCGGAACTTGTAACGATGTACTTGCTTAGAATTGTCATAACTGCATTACATCTGTAAATAATAGCTGTGATTTTATGAAGCTTTCAATAGCATCATGACTGTCCTTAGCATTACCATTCCATTTATAGAATATTTGACAAAATTTTTAGTAGTTATTTTAAAGGGAGGATATCAAAATATTTATTACGCTCACTGAATAAGTTAGCCGAATTCATTTCCTACCTTTTATATTCAAATTTTCACATTTCTAAGGGTTCTAGGATAATCGGATAAAAAGAGATGACCTTTTCTTAACTATAAGAAAGGGAACTATCTTGGTAAAGAAACAGTCTAAGATTCTGTACTTATAAAACTATCCTCTTTATAATAAGGATTTACGCTTCGGTAAGTTTGAAAGTGACAAATAAAAGTACCCTTGCTGAGTTCTAAAATGAGCTTGTTTTGAAAACTGCGAAAACTAGCACCAAGTATGTCACGAGATTTAATAATTTGGATATTAGCACGTGGTTGTAAACCAACACCGGAGTTATTCAGTCCAACAACTGTTGAAATTAGAGTATCATTAAGATTATCAGTTTCTTGTTTCCGGGTTGACGTCTGATTCTTGGGTAATTCTCCCCCCCCTTCTGAATCATGCGCGAATGGATGGACAAGACGAAGACGGGCGTTGTCTCAACCACGGTCCAGTGGTTTTAACTGTTTTCAAGATCTAATATATAAAAGGGAGAGTGTTTATCAAAGAACCAACAAACAGAGTAAACATTCACTTCTCTTGGAATACACCTAAGAGTAGCAACAATGAATCGAATGGTAAGTTTCAGCTGTGTTCAACACTACCACGTTAACAAAGAAAAGACAGTGCTCTTGCTGCTTAAAAGTGGAAATGCGCTTGTGTTTTGGATATGCGAATACTTCGTTTCATGACGGATGTTTCACACTGCCAAATTGTGCTACTGGATTTCGAAAGAATTCGAGTTTTTTTCTGTGGAATATTATGCAACAGTTCAGTAACAGCATTAGAATGCTGTAATGGATATTTTCTTTATTTTCTTCTTTGCGAAGGGAAAAAATTCAGTTTTATAAAATAACTCTTGTCAGTTCTATAAAATATATTTTATCTTGACGATACATCTTTTAAGTCATTCGACAGTAAAAATTTGTGGTATATGTGTACAGTGATTTGCACTTCAAAGAGAGGATAAACTAAAGCATAATATTTTAACAACTGCTGAAGGCATAAAAAACAAATTATTTTTGAAGAAGTTTCAATGCTAACAAATACGTTATACATTTTTGAAATAATTTATTAATGAAAAAACAAATCTTGGGTATATTAGCTATAAATATACATTCTGTGAATTAGGATCGAAAATTAAATAAATATTATCAAGATTTCATCTGTTGTTCAGCTGATCCCCTCGGTATTAGCGATTCATTCAAATGCAAAAATATGAGCAGTAGAAATTCCGGACTTCAGAAATAAAGTTAATTTCTAACGTGCATTTACACTTTAAATCAAAATTGTTTTCAGTTTAGATAAGTGCAGTTAGAAGTTTTTGAGATACAAGTTTACAGTATATTAGCGATATTACTGATGATATTTCTTATGTCTCTTTTCTTTTATTATGTACATTTCCTTTACATATCGTTGCGCTGTTGCAGTGATTTTCTTCATTTTCATTATTTCCAAGTTAAAACCACGTGTTCCATGTGCAGTTTGAAAAAATTATTTGATTAATAGTAACAGTAAATTATGTCGTTCGTTCCTCCTAATATACAAGAAAGGTTTATATTTACAATATTTAGTAATTTCATAACAAGGTAGTGCATTTTATATTATTTTCTGCTTATATTTCAATCTGGTTATTGTATCTCACTCACAGTCTGTCATATGATTTTTTTATTTACAATATTTAGTAATTTCATAACAAGGTAGTGCATTTTATATTATTTTATGCTTATATTTCAATCTAGTTATTGTATCTCACTCAGTGTCTATCATATGACTTTTTTCATGCCTAATTTTGGAAACCTATTATTTCTAACCCATTCGCTTAGCAATAGTTTATTCTTTTGTTTAGTTACTGGATGAAGTAAATCTAAATTTACTGTTTAGAATATAATTTCAAATGAGATATGAAATTTATCAGATAAAAGAATTGAAATTTCTTAATATTATGCTTTAGAGTAATAAATAACTTATACAAATATATTTAGTATAAAAGCTTTAAATAATTTTAATTAATCATCAACTGAGTTACTCACTTTTTGTGTCTTTTACAGGTCACTCTTTGCTGTGCTTTCCTGCTGGTCACATCATCTCAAGCAGGATATTCCTCTGAGAGCGAAGAATATGCTGAAGGTTATGGAATTGGAAACGCACACGGAGGTGGATATGGCGGAGGAGAAGGAGGAGGCTATGGTGGTGGCGAAGGCGGTGGATATGGTGGTGGCGAAGGCGGTGGATATGGAGGTGGCAGCGGTTTAGGACATGGAGGTGGAAGTGGACTAGGCCACGGATTTGGTGGAGGAAAAGGCCTTGGAAGTGGACTTGGAAGTGGTATCGGAAAAGGTTCTGGACTCGGAAGCGGCTTAGGCAGCGGTCTAGGAAGCGGAATCGGAAAAGGTCTCGGAAGTGGCATTGGGAGTGGAATCGGGAAAGGCCTCGGAAGCGGCTTAGGCAGCGGTCTAGGAAGCGGAATCGGAAAAGGTCTTGGCAGTGGCATCGGAAGCGGCATTGGATTTGGAAAAGGAGCTGGAATCGGAAGTGGGATCGGTAGTGGAATAGGAAAAGGTGCTGGAATTGGAAGTGGTATCGGTAGTGGAATAGGAAAAGGTATTGGAAGTGGTATTGGCAGTGGAATTGGAAAAGGAATCGGAAGTGGCATCGGTAGTGGAATAGGGAAAGGCACTGGTATCGGAAGTGGCATCGGTAGCGGAATCGGGAAAGGCACTGGTATCGGAAGCGGTATTGGTAGCGGAATTGGAAAAGGTGCTGGAATTGGAAGTGGTATTGGTAGTGGCATCGGAAGTGGAATAGGAAAAGGAATTGGAAGTGGTATAGGTAGTGGTATCGGAAGTGGAATCGGAAGTGGTATCGGTAGTGGAATAGGAAAAGGAATTGGAAGTGGTATCGGGAGTGGAATAGGGAAAGGTGCTGGAATTGGAAGTGGTATCGGTAGCGGAATTGGCAAAGGAATTGGAAGCGGTATTGGAAGTGGTATCGGTAGCGGAATAGGAAAAGGAATTGGAAGTGGTATTGGTAGCGGAATAGGGAAAGGCGCTGGTATCGGAAGTGGTATTGGTAGTGGAATAGGAAAGGGTGCTGGAGTCGGAAGTGGTATCGGTAGTGGAATTGGAAAAGGAATTGGAAGTGGTATCGGTAGTGGAATAGGAAAAGGCGCTGGAATCGGAAAAGGTCTTGGAAGTGGATATGGAAAAGGATCTGGTATTGGAAGTGGTTTTGGTAAAGGATTAGGTGGAGGTGTTGGTAAGGGACTTGGTGGTGGAGCTGGCAAAGGATTAGGTGGAGGTTACGGTCTTGAAGAAAGTTACGGGGAAGGTCATGGTCTTGCTGCTGATTATGACGAACATCAGTTAAGTGGAGGCTATGGTAACAGTCAAGAGCTTGATTCCTTGGAAGGTGGACATATTGGAGGATACAGCGGAGAATACGGAGTAGGTCTGGATGGAGATTTTGAAGGAAATGTTTTAACAGTTCCAATTGTCAATGATGCATCCCTGTTAAAACATATTCCAGTTACCCAACATATCAAAGTAGGAGACAACGATGATTTAAGTGGAGTATATGAAGGCGATTTTGACAATGGCAGTTATGGAGAATCCAGTGAAGAAGGATATGGACTTTAAAATCATGAAAAAAATGTGGTGCTTAAACTATGAAACGTCTGTCAGATTGAAAGTGAAATTAATTTGAGTAAGTGATGCTCACACTTAGTGCACTGGACGTCTTTATTTATTTTCTGTATATAACAAATAAAGTGAAAGCACAATAAAAATCTTTTTTTTTCTTTTGATTGTTATAGTTAACAATGATTTTCTGATACTGACTTTTCATTCCAATACATAGTCAGCTATTTTAAAGAAATAATTAGCTATGCTAGTTCAATGGAAAAAATTAAATTCAGTAAACATAAGTGTTAATTAGATATTTTAAATAGCTATAAAATAATATTCTTGTATTTTATTGATAAATCATAATTTAATAAGAATAATGTGAGATAGCGTTTTCTTCCACGCATTTTCGATCACTAGAAATATACAAAAAAAGAGGAAATTGTTTATAAGATGACTTTTTATGACACTGCAAAAAAAGCAGGATTTTATATTATGTGGTTTGTCAGTTTTTCAACCGAAGTTATTTAATATAAACAATTTATTTAATTACACTTACACCTTTTTAAGTAAAAGAAATTAGGTAATAAGAAAGGCATTGAATTATATGAATAACAACAGATAAATAAATTTTTATCATTTCAATAGATTACTTATTTTAATAAAATTTCTCAAATTTTCCTTTCGCAAAAAAATAATTTTAACAAAGAAAAATTGTATGCAAAATATGCATTTTATAAAACATATTAACTGAAACAGTAATTATTGCCAAACCTCAAAGAAACTACAACAGGTTTAATATAATTTTCAAGTTATCTGTAATGAATAAAAATTGACATTTTGTTAAAGAAACTATCACCTCAAAAAATTGGCATCTAAAGCCTTTTGTATCCACAGTAATAGATACTAAAAGTTTAAAAAAATAAAGTAAGGAAAGATAAGGTAGGAAAACATTAAAACTAGTGAGAAAGATAGTCTTGAATATATAAATTGAAATGCTACTCATTATTTATAGTTCTATTTTGATAAATGGATATTGTAGCTTTTATAGTATGAGTTTTACTTAACAATTTTTAAGCAGCGTAACAATTTTGAAATTGTCAAATTGAAAAGAGAATTATTAGTTTATCAGCACAAAAACTGTTAAATTCTTGTAATAATGCATAATTAATTTTAAACGGCAGTTTCTAAATTATATGTCTTTATCTTCATCTTTACGACATATACAAAATTCAACAATGCTACCCAGTGCATATGCCTGTTGAATAGATTAAGATGAGAAGATAAGTCACAGCAACTAGAATAACAAAGCCCACACCGCCAAGGACAAGAAATGAGGATTAAACTCATGTCAAAGCGTAGATTTTACAAAACATTGGAAGCTCAATTAGTGCATAGTACAATGATGTGGTTACCTTCCTATATACGGAACCTTAAGAAAGGACATTTACAGTTATTGAACTCCTTCTGTACGTGGAGTGGATTTTTATTTTCTGCTTGTTTTATGATATGTTAATGTATTAATTTCATGATATGATTTACGTATGTTAAACAAAGTATATTGGAAGAAAGGAATTTCTAGAGATAGAAACCATGATAAAATCTTGTCTAAGTGAGACTAAAAAGTACACTTTTATAAAATTTATGAAGATGTTTTTTTATAGATGCTGCTTTTTAAAAATTTAATTTAATAATCGGAGCTCTAAATTACCAAAACAAAAACTTACCAACTGGAATCACACAGGAAAACCACACGGGAAAGTCTTATATATATATAAAATAATAATAGTAAGATAATGTTCATTTTGAATTATAACTTAAGAAATTATAATAATAGATAAATGTAGTTAATAATAAATTTTACAATATCATTAAATTCTACTTCCTTTTTCATATTTATCATAAAAACATTCAACAAAATTTATTTATTCAACATAGTGTTAATTAGATATTTTAAATATTCAATATCTAATTAACACTACTCTCTGTACATACAGAGAAAGTTTTGTTGACCTCTGAATAGAATGTCGCAACTAAAAAAGTGTTGACATAAACAAGGCCTTATAAACAATTCATTTTAGTATGCTAAACAGTGTTTCCATCTTATTAATAAACACAAAAGAAGTAAATATATCATCTTAGTCTAACACTATTAGACTCACAATTGCTCAATTTCATCTCTCCGGCTTCCAAAAAATCCTGCATTTTAATGGAGCATTTCTGCTGTTGAACGAAACAGAAATATCGCCAGTTGCAAAAAAGAATATTTTACAAAGTTCATTTATCACTTTGAGTTGGACATATGCTTGGTAATTCTGCTGAGTTGGACATATGCTTGGTAATTCTGCATAGTAACAATATGATTTCATGTCATTAGAAATTTATGTATCAGTTTTCTATTCCAAATACAAAATTTAAAAAAAATAATTTTTGATTTTAATTATGTTTTCATATTTTTATACATTAAAATAACAGTTGTAATTAATATATGAAATAATTTCGTCTTGTTATTAACAGAGAATCCTATATGGTTTTCAAGCACACTGAGCTGAAATTCTTATTAACTGAAATGTTCAAGTACTCAGAAATTTTTTCTGTATTCCCTTCAGTTTTAGCTTACCAAAGTTCACTTGTGAAGAAAACGTAGATATGAGCATTGAAAATAACAAGAATGATAATGACTAAGATTTTATGAAATTTAGACTTTCTTGATTCAGTAAGGCAGATTTAATCAACAGAACACCAGGAGGGAAAAGTTGAAACAGCAAGGGTGATGCAGTGGGGCACTGAGATGTGTACAGAAGGCGTAAATTTCCAAACCGTACACAGTGCATCCTTCACAATCCTTCCAATCTCTCTTAAGGTGCTTTTTATGGCACTAACACATTAATTACCGTTTCAGAGTGCCATAGATTATCATCGTTTTTTGGTTATCTGCATACACATTAACACATTAGTGAGCACACGTAAGTTCAGGATATTGTAACGTATTATTGCTGTTAACCGAATGAATATGTAAAGAACTTCCTATAATCACGTATTTTTAAGTAGCACTTTACTTTATTCTGTATTTAATTTCTTATTTTTATTTATGGTTTTTCCATATAAAAATCATTTTTGCTTCTTCTTTCATTGAAATTTTAATTCTGTCACTTGATGATGTGGAATTTATTGTTATGAATATATACTATAACTCGATAAAAATTTTATTATTTCATTTGGTATATTACATCGTGATTAATGGTGAGATTGAATATCTTAAAATAGATATTTCGGCATGTCATCACTTAATATGTAAAATTTTTGAATGAAAAAATGCTACTGACACTTGGGCAGTATGATCATCAGTATAATTTATTACGATATGCCGTTTAATATTTGTATCTGCAGTATAACATGCTGCTGATAACACGTAAGTTAGTATGTGTTCATTGTTGTGGCATACTTCGTATGAGCTTTGCGATCTATCTTATTGCAAATATTTACACTGGTGATGATCCACCATTGACCAAGTGGGTGAGAGCACATACTGGTAATTTGATTAACTTGTAATCCCTGTAAATACTTCGAATACATGGGCATTTTTATGTTTTTTCTTATGTGTAACATGAAAAAGATGCCTATTTCTCAAAGATCCTCCATTAGCCATCCCTTCTGTTCCGTAGATATCCCTCACATACATTACTTTAAACAATTAAAATAAAATATATACTGATATGTAATAAAAGTTTTTAAGGTTGTTTTTGTCATTCTTTCTGCTTTTTTTAACATATCGGTAACGCTATTAATAAATATTTAGAAACAGCTGATCCCTTTCGAAAATGTCTTATAGAATTCTGCAAAAAATCCTTTAGAATTATGGCAAAATTTTCTATAAATTAAGTCACAGATATTTTATAGAATTCTATAGAAATTTAGATGTAACTTCAATAGAATTGTCTAAGCAGATTACGTAGAATATATGTACATATTCTTTAAAAATCTGTGCAGAGATTATATAATAATTTGCAAAGATTCTAGACTATAGAATCTTACGTAATGTGTAAATTAATAGAGTATTAGATACAGTTTGCAGAAAATTGGGTCGTAATTCTAAAGAGTTCTAAAACATTTCTTGCTTTAATTTTCTTTAAAAAAATCCTATTGCAGCTTTTCAGTATTTAACAGCTTTATAAAAATCAACAAATATTTCGGAGTATTAACAAAAATGCATTAAATTTTTATTTTTGAAAGGAATTTTTTAACCTAAATTTGAAGTATTTTGTAATATGGAGAGGGAGTAACAGATGTAATTGTTTTCCTAATAAAAAATAATGAATTCCGGCGAATAAAATTATAGCTTTTGGTGAACTAAAAATAAGTGATAAAATAATTTTAGTTTTAATATGCATAACGCAAGTATTTCAATATGCACACCGTGATACATTACGTATAAGGACTCGCAAGTTTATAACTAATGAAAATTTTGAAAAATAATTATGGTATTCAAATAATTATAAATGTTTGAATACATAGAATAGGTAATTAAAAAAGACTTAATGATATATCATAACATACCTTTAAAAGTTCCTTTTAATTTAAAATTATTTGATTCAGTTGTAGAACGTAATTCTTTATTAAACAGCTGAGACAGCAAATACATTTAATCATGGATTCACGTGTTATCAGCAAATTCCTTTTAATTATTGGATGAAAGTTTGCTAAACAATGAAACTTTATAAATTATACTCTCCGACGTTAGCAGTAAACAATCACATATTACCTAACACTAAACATTGGCTGAATTTGAACAGTGCATGCACTTGGCTCTAATTTATTCGTCTGTTAACCATAGGCTTCTACAGCGATTTAGAAAGCAGTCGTACGAAAAGTACACTTCCTGGCAAGCAACAGGTCTCTTTCATTATAGGTCTAGGCTACTTGTAAAATTCATAAAATAGATAACTAACGTTGTCAATTCATGCTCTCTAAACACTGGCTGATCTCGATATTTAAACTTAATCTGACTGGTATTCTGGTAAAGATTAAATAGAAGATAAAAAGGACAGAAAATAATGCATGACAGTTACTGATTAATTAATAGACCTTACAAAATAAGTTATTAAGAGCGATAAAGCCAAAGATAAAAGCCAAAGTGAAACATTTTAGTTTGTATTAAAGCAAATTTTGAGTTTCACATGAT